GTTTCTTTTTTGGTAAAAATGATGGCTCTATATTTTCTTCAATATCTTCTGAAATTGATTGATTACTTAAATTTAGTCCGTCTAACTCTTTTGTAACCATATCTTCTCTTCTTCCTTCTAATTCTTCGCTTCTTCCTTCTGATTCTTCACTTCTTCTTTCTGATTCTTCGCTTCTTCCTTCTATAATCATTTCTATGTTTTCTTCACTGTCACCTTGTCGTCGTATATCGTCTGATTCATGTCGAGATTTTGTACGTTGAGAAACTCGTTTACCATTACATAAATATGTTAAACAGTAACAAGGAACACGTTGGGTTGATCTAGAAGTTGTCAGAGAAGATAGAGTTATATCAGGATTTACATTTTCCGAATCCGATTCTGTAATAGAATCTAAAATTTCATGAATATTACGATTTCGTGGCATTGTGAATAAATTTTAATATGTAATAGAGTAAGCTATTGTTAAACAAAATTTCAAAATATTTAAAATCTTCATTTAAAAAAATAATCGAAATATAAGTATATAATTAATTGATTAATGTATATATTGTTTGACATATATAATGATATTTATGTGTAACTACACAATGGTAATATTCAAACTGCATGATAAATAAACTTGAATAAGATATTAAACCCAAATTTTCGGTATATTACCTAAATTAGTAAAGAAGATAATTGTACGTGCCTTTTTGGTTATTAGAAACCCGTAGTTGTAGTTTTTCCGTAGTTTTCTAATTTAAAAAAAAAAAAACCCCTTTTAATAGTTCCCGTAATTATCGTAAATAAAAAAAAAAAATCCCAGTAGTTTACTCACATTAGTTATAATATAAAAAAAATTCAGTAAAGTTTTCTCACATGATCTTTTCGTTACTTTAGTAATACTAGACCGATCAACCAAGTCAGATTCGATTCACCTTGGCATCGATCCCGAGTACTTTTCACTTTTACAACTGGTTTCATTAATTTTGGGACATTTGATAAAAAATTGACTAAATGATTCTTTGATATTATATTAGATTCTGTTGCTTTTACTTCAGACAAAGTTGGATATTACAGATTCAACAGTAGTTACTTCTGACAAGTATTTTAAAATATTTACTATAGATGAACAAGCTAAAGGTTCCTTAGTTGTTAGACAATATTTTCATTTGGTTTATATTTTAAAATTCATTATACTTATATTACATATATAATTAAAAAATAATTCTTAC